TTTGTACCTTTGCAGGGTATTTTCAGTTAATTTATTTAAGTGAATAATTTCTACAAACATTGCATATCATAAAAAAAAAAATTTTACTTTAATTAAACATTTCAACGTACTATATACTATATACTATATACTATATACTGTTCTCCGATCAGTCGGTCGCATGCAAAAAAAACTCATGTTGTTTTATAATACCTTTGTATTATGAGGTAACACATCTTTTTACAAAATTTTTTACAAAGTACGTGAATCCAAAACGAACATGTCGAATCATTCATCATATTATGTAAAATAAACGTCCAAATCTTCAACGATATTTTTTATTTTTATTTTATTTTTTTTCGTGTTGGAATGTAGACACTGTTGCTACCAGTGATGTCATGTATGCCTGCGTATAAATTATAATCGAAATCATTCTTTACCACGTCACCATTACCAATTTCAACTGCCTTGTGTTCTGATTACGTCCTCATCCTCATCTTTACTTATAGATATCGATGTTTTAGTATAGAAATTTAAAAATTTCTACTACTCTATTCTTATTTTGTACTCATAGAAAACCTTTATTTGGGGTGTTCTTATTAAGGTTGTATTATTTTAAACAGGGCTACTTCCTGTTACTATATTGCAGCTGCTTATTCATGATACAGTTGTTAAAAAATGGCTTATAAATGCAAAAGTGGTTATTTAAATAGAATTATTAAATTTTTATGTAATTCCGTTATTATACCCATCGGAATATTAATATGAATATAAAATTTTTTAATTGAAAATAACGAACTAACACGCTACAAAACGCTTTTTTAGCCTTTTTAAAACATTTTTTGCTAGTTACTGTATCATGACAATACTATTTTGAATATAATTTCTGAAATTGATTAATGCAAAAAGTGTATTTGTAGAAGTTGTGTAATTTTTATATGAAACGGTTTGTCTAAAAATATGATGTACAAAAATTGCATGGCGTAAAACAATATTTTTACCATTTTTGAACGATTTTTATCAATCAAGGCATGAGAAAGCACTTCAAAGAAAAATCAACATGACAAAAAAATTTTGTTTGAATGAGCTGTGCAACTTTTGCATTCAAATTTAAATTTATTTTTATAGCAGGCCAAAAACGTGTTTCTCACTGTTTGAATATTGATTGTTTTTATAATAAAGAATGAAGACAAAGATTTATATTTTAAAATAACGACAATTTTTCTTTTCGGTGTAAAACTTGCCCAAATTGAAACAATTAGCTTAGAAATTCAATTTAAAGCTACCTACAAAATTTCAGTCTTTATGAATCAAGTATTTGACTTAATCGAAACACTTCATTATCTACATACACGCACGATGTGACTAAATCAAATCACCGTTCTACTAGATTTAAAATTTGTTTCACATTGAAAATCAATGATTTATAAGTGGCTGTACTTTTTACTCTGATAAAATTATAAGACACTTTCTTACATTGGTCAAGCCTAAAAAATATGCTGTGCTGCGTAAAAGAAGTGATTACAATTGAAATAATTTTGAGTATGGAAATAACATCTTATCGATAGACTACGAAACGTTTTGAGTAACATAATTTTTCAATAGATGTAACAATGTATTTTTATATAATGTACAATAATATATTATTGATATATTATAAAACATTTTATTTTGTGCTTACTTATACTAAGGTACTGACCCTAGTTATTCATAGAAAAATCTTCGTGTACTTTTCGCAAGGTTATTAATTTTTTGACTTGTTAAAGTTTAAATAAGTTTCTCCAACCTTTGGTACTATAAATATTATTGCTTCAAGATAAATAAGATTTTCCAAATATCTTATCTCAAAATAAAAAATTAATATGTTGTTTATATTTGCATCTTTTTCTAAAAAATATATTGTTGTTATCCGTTGCAAGTATTTATTGAAGACTTGTATACTTTTTTTTATGTTATTAATTTTGGTATGGTGTAGTATACAGAAGTCAGTACATTAATCTCAGAAGTTTTGATAACAAATGTGTAAAGACTCTTATGTATATTTAAAATTGGAAATATATCAACATAGAAATTTTTTATGCATAATCTTTGTTGAAAAAGGATTATACATAAATCAATCACTTTACAGATGAGGCCAGAAATGAAGCGACCTTTCGATACACTGTTGAAAGTGTATCAAAAATGAAGGATTCCCAATTATCCCCACCATGTTTTGTCCGTAATTTACCTTGGAAGATAATGGTTATGCCACGATCAAGCCAAACACAAGAGCGTCAACCACAAAGGTCGCTGGGATTTTTTTTGCAATGTAACGGAGAAAGCGAATCTTCATCTTGGAGTTGCTATGCAGTTGCTGAACTCCGTCTCCTTTCTTGTAAGGAAGGACAAGATCCTTTTAATCGAAGTAAGTGGAATTTTTCTATTACAAAAATACAACGTGTTTGAAAGTAAAATTTTAAATTTGTTATTATATTTATCACCTCAGTTTTTTTTTATTAATCATTTAATGCTAAACAAAATTCATAATTATCCATGCACGTCTTTCAATATTATTTAAAAATTTTTGATCATTTTGTATTCATCATTGGTCTCAAGACCTGTGGGACAAGCCAAAAGTATCCTTAGATATGAAAATCAGATAAGGTAAAGTACCCAGTAGTTAGACGCTTTTAATAGTCGTAATTTTATTAGTTGATTTACAAAGAACTAACAAAAAATAATGTTCCAAAAAACATTGCATAAATAATTAAAAATTTTTTTTTATTTATTAGAAAAAAATTGACAATATCAGCTTAATAAATAAAGAAAAAATTAATATCAAAGAAAAATCATCAAGACCCAGTATCTGGACGCCTGTGTCCAGGTACTGGAACGAACATGAGACTTCGGATCAGTATTTGGGTATCCATGTTAATTAAATGAAAAGGAGGTTAGGATGTACCTAATTTCAAAATGCTTTGTCACATTTCTCAACTACTTGATGATTATAATATTTTCCACTACATGGTATAGTTTCTGGTCATCATTCAACTTCATTTTAGTTTTGAACAGTAGAAACATTAACATATTATACGTAGTAATAATCAATAATTTTAAGTGTTTTTTATTGTCCAAGTACCAGGTTATGCGAAAAATCTTATGTTATCGAATGGAAGCTATGCTTGGACAGAGTTATTTATATTCTTCGATGTGTTTAACTCTGATAAACATGAATAAAAATTATAATAATATATATTTTTCAATGTAAATTTAGTTAGAAAATAACTTAAACGTTCTATGCCCAACTATAAATTATAATTTTTAGCGATTTTTTCCGTGTCCAAGTACTGAGTATAGAAACACTCCTATTTTATTAAAGGGATCTATTATTGGACAGCAAGCTTACATACTTAGCATTTAAAACATATTTTTTCACTTAAAAACGAAAAAGAATTTTAAAGATAATTTTTATGCATTGATAAACTATAAATAAATTTGTTTTTCCTATTTGAAAACGTCTTCTATTCGAAAATGTAAGTTTTATTAGACTGTCCAACTACTGGTGCTATTTTTACTTCTGTCCAACTACTGGGTCCTTTACCTTATGCACACAGGAAATATTTAAATTAGTGCTTTCTTAAACTAAGAGAAAAACAAGTCTTGGATCCAAAACATTTTTCTATAGTCAGAGATTCTATAAACTGTTCTTAAAAATTTTTTTTCTTCACATTTTTACTGCTAGAATCACAAAAAAATTACCAGTTACAGATATGTGATAGCTTATCTGAAATTTTGATGGAAAAAATACGAATTCAAAAGTAGGTCATTAGTAAAAAAAAAATTATTTTAACTTAACGCAATGCCCAACATTAAATCTGGTAAAACAGGAAAAAGTACTTCGTAACCCTTATTTTAATGAAGTTTTTGATGGTAAAGTACAGTGAAAAAATTTTGAAGTGTTTCACTAAAAGTTTTTGAAATGAAAAACTTCAAGTAACTACGGTAGTGATACTGCTTAAAATTTGTAGAGTAACACCACAAGATTAAAATTTTAATAATTCTGTAAAAACTTGATGTATTACACTACAATTCTGCGAGTGCCTCACTGTAATTTAATGTTCTAGTCTTTTGAGAAGCGTTGAGCTGTAGGAGTGCAAGGCTTGTATATAAGTGAGTGAAGTATTTCACATGAAATTGTTATTAGCTACATGTACAAGAATATAGATTACAGGCTCTTATTCTCATTTGTTCATCAAAAATTTAATTTCATATTAATTGAATTACGTAATAATTTGTTAATAAATAGATTGTATGCAACAAAAATATGTATAAGATTAAACTTACTTTATATACGCTAACACATACTTAGTTTGTTAAGTAGTGGTGGGGTAGGTACCAACATAAGAGCTGATCAAATCACTATTCGTAAATAGGCCTTTAAAAACCTAACGTATTAGTTCCGTCCATCGTTTAAAAATTAAATTTTTAAATTTTTTAAATAATTTATTTTTTTATCACAAATACCTATCTAAAAAAAGAATTCTGGCATGTCTGCCTTACGTATTTTAAATATACTTAAAAAAATTAAATCTTGGAGCAAAATTAAAAGCGTTTTATTTAGAGGAGTTAGTTTAGTAGGAAACTTATCACATTGAAACAATTCGGATTAGCTTTTGATTTCTAGATTGTTAGCTATACGTAATAAGGAAATTGAATACTATTTGTTTTTTAAATATTCTATCTTAGATTTAATTGAATATTGTATCTTCTTGCTACATGAAAGTCTTAACCATTTTTACAAAGAATTCACTTATCTATAATTAATAATTTTACTAGGCTTGTTGGTACATCGCAATTTTATATGCATAATAACTATGATGGAAATTAATAGTATATATTGTACTAACAATGAAATAATCTTCATCAAGAATTATAAATTTTTTTATAAGGTTACTGAAATTCGGATCTTCATCGCAGACGGATGTAATTTTGATAGATCCTTGACTAAATTTTTCACCAAAAATTTCAACAAATTCATGAGATTTAGCTTTTTTATTAAATGAAAGATAGCTTTAAATATAATAACTAAATTTATTGATAACTATTCCTTGAGTTACATAAAAAGTTTTTGGGGATCCAGTTTCATGCAGATATAAGTCATGCAACTGATACAAAAGAGCGATGTTCCAAGGCATACATGTCAGCTTGAACTTATCAACAGTCTTTTAATTCTTTATTTTATTTTTTTTCATAAGATATTGACCACAAATTAAAAATAGATCTGTAAGTAAAATTGTTTTGGGTATGTGTATAAGAAAATGTATTTTTAGTTTGAAATTACCATAGTATTCTGTTCAACTCGTTATGACGCCTAACTAACCAACATACATTATAAATATCAGCCATGAAAATTTGGGCAAAGTTTCAGTCCCTACAATTTGTTTTTATTCCAAACAAAATTTCCAGTTTTTAATTTTTCCCAGCACAAAATCTTCAATTAAAAGACCAAAATTTTAAACTGAACATAATGTTTTAGCTAAGACTGTTTTATTTTAGTTTTACTGTGAACCTTATCCTGAATTTTCTTCTTACTATAATCTTCCAGCAATTGACAAGGTTCATTTGAGCTCTTAGTTTTACCGTAGGCAAAGTCTTTTGTTTCATTATTCAGTGTTCCTGGAGTAAAAAACTTTTTAACGTCTATTAGGCGAGTAAGAATCGTAAAGAGGTTGTAGTTCAAAACTCTTTCGTACAAATCGTGCATACGATCCAGTAACTTGTTTTTAATTACATAAAAATTAATCAGATGATTAAATATCAGAATAACTTTAACACCCGAAATCAAAGAATTATAGTCATTAATATAATTTATTGGAGTTTTTGAATGTGTCTTTTTCGACCATTTTTATATATTCATATTTAGTTTCTCGACAAACGTAGCTTTAAAGCTTTCAGTGAATTCACCCATAGAAGTCAACGCAAGATTGTCGCACAATAATAAGTACACCTACAGAAAACCGTAATATTTTTACTATTAAAAACTATATTTATTCCTTGTACACAATTAAAATTTATTACCTTCATCAATTTATAAAATACAACGGAATTACCAAAAAATTTGAATGCTTTGTATAAAATATACCCAAGAAAATAATGTTCCTCACTTTCGTCATCATGTACAGAGGAGGAAACGGTAACGATGGCTAACAATAGCATTACTCACCTCAAAATCGTGATGATAAAAAATAAAAGGTAACGAAAATAATTTTTTTATTTATTTTAGGCAGTTTTTTTCTGTAGAAATCCCCGTATAAAATAATAAGTCCTCTTTTTTCTCATTTAGANTATCGGCTTGCTGTTAGAGCTAGTCTTCTGAATATATGAAAGTATGAATAGTCTTATTCGACCATTTCAAGAATTATCATTTACTCAGGCCACAGAGGTTTGCATAACTTAATATGTCACTATTCGAAAAATAATGAGTATGAAAAAGAAGAACCAATGTTTTTAGCACGTTTTCAAAAGTATCTAACTATGAAAGGCAATTGACAATTTTATAACATGATTCCAATTTTTCTCCAGAACTAGAAGCTGAACAATTTTTATTTGATGATAAAAAAATTATTGTAAAAATCTTTGAATAACCATTCAAATGTATATATTAGGAGGGAATCAGACATTTAAAAATAAGGTACATATTAGGCAGTAATGAATAAGGCTACTGGTTAAAAATAGAAATAAATATGTCTTTTTGTATGTTAACACGTTATCATTTTTCAATTATTATTTAAGTATCGTTTGCTAATAATCGTTGAAACGTAAGGGCGATGGTTAAAAATTTATTTCAACATTTTAATAATCATAGTAATACAAAGTTTTTCAGAAATTTTACAGAAATTACTTTTTTCTTAAAGTTCACTTTTTCATCTTTAAAACAGAAAAAAATTCTATCGCTTTAAAAAACTGCAGTTATGAATTTTTGAAAATGAGTCCAAAGCACAAACTACGAAAATCTCAAACTTTAAATCCTGTTAATTAAAAAAAAATAAAATTCCTCGAATATGTATCATTTTTCTTTTGATATAGAACC